TTACCTAGTTATCATATGTTTGAATATTCTAGAAATTAATAAATGTGTTTGATATATATTCTATGTTTCATTTGTTTAATTTAGTGTGTAATTTACTGTGGTCTGTAATGTTCCTCCATTTGTTTGAGCCGGGAAGCTTTTAAGAAACATGGAGTTTTGTTGAATTTAGGTTATTGATTTTTCCTTTTGCATAGGTTACTCACAACGCGAACCTAAAAGTTAAATTGTACTACCACTATACGAATGTTTATAAGAATGTCGATATGATATATGAATGTTCATATGAATATATATATTCTTGAGTTAGTGTGTCCGGCACCATAAGTCAAAGTTAAGAAAAGTTAAGTCAAAGTTAAGTTTAAAAAAGTATTAAAACGTCCAAATTTTAAGATATTCAACATCCGTGTAAAGTGATATTTCGTTCCTATGCAAATAAGTATAAACACCTCGCTGGAAATAGAACATATCCAATGCTATGATTTTGAAAACCTTTACACTACTTTGAAGAAATTTATAAAAGTTTACTTACTCTACCAAATTTATTTCCTCAGATTACTACAATTATTCCTACTGAAAATTGGCAACTGTTCTTAAAAAGTGTACTTTTTAACAATTATATTAAATTTAATAACAGCATCTTTAAGCAAGTACAAGGTTTGCCAATGGGCGGAAATTTTTCAACAGCAATTTGCGAAATATTCCTGTTTACCCAAGAATATAAGTTTATTACTTAACCTAAAACTGAAGATCACAAATACTTCCAGCACATGTTTCGTTATATAGATAATGTTATTGCATATATTTTTATTCTTATATGTTGGTAAATTGCGCATTTTTTGCTTTAAAAGTGAATGAATTATGCTGTTCTTCTGTTCCAATTAAGGTTTTTTTTAACCTTTTTAAAAATCTGCATGCAATAGTTGTAGAATTATTAACAATTTAAAAGTTTAAGTGGCGGGTTAAGCCTAGCGAACTTCCATTTGTTTACAATGAAAATCAGTAGAATAGTGAATTACGTCTTTCTGCACCTTCAAGTGTCTTTTTGGTGAGTGGGACCAAACGGAAACTTTTTGTTTTGTGCACAAAAAATCTGCCGGCCTGCTGGCGAAATTCCTTGTTTTTGTGTAGAAACTGTAATTTTAATTGTAAAATTTTTTAAATTGTTTTAACTGTATTTGGAGTTTTATGTTTTTCGATATCTTTCAGATTTTAATGAAGATATTTTGAGTTTCTATGTATTTTTGCCTTGCCGCGAAGTGAGAAGTGAATTACTTGAATGAGAAATATACCTAATGAAACTCGGGGAAATAAGTTTAAATGAAATTCAGAAAAGAAAATGTGTATAATTTAATATTCCGTACAAGGAAGTCATATGGTGTAAACATCAGATTATTTTCTCCACAATGCGAGGCGCATACATTTAATGCATACATACACACACATACATAGAGATTTTTCATTATTTATTAACAGAAATGTGTATTTTATTTACAAATGGATAAAAATAAAATAAGAGAGAATTTAAAAAAATCAGATGGCTAGAGACATATTAAGAACCAATTATACTCTGTTTAAGAACAAGACAATTGTAAAAAACTTTAGGCAAAGTTAATACCATCTATTGCACTAAGCCTAACTAGGTTTCTTTTAAGCAATCAACTAAGTTACGGTCTATCAGTGTAACAAAGACCACCGAATACTGGTAGTTCAACCACGTTCGAATTTCAAGGAAGGGGCTGGCCGCTTGGATGTTTTCGTCATTTAACGCCTACAAGCAACGTCCCTAAGAAAGTTCTAGGTGGCACTAGACAGCTTTCATATGCTTTGTTGTATTCGCCTGAACGACGTATAAGACACTGTATTTATATATACAATCAATGCGTACTAATTTAGCGAAGCGTCAGTGTGGTCCCCCTTCTTGACATCTGGGGCTGTTCTAGAGGTGGACGTGGTGCTTAACCAGCATGGTAGAGGCACAGTGCCCACGTACCCCGTCACTTGTCACTTGTATTTGACTAAACAAACAATCAATTTAGCTAGGACGATTTCTGTACGGTAAACTTTATTTTGTGAACTTTTACTGTGGGCATGCCTTTCATAAATGTGGTCTGTACGGTGTCGGGTGTAAGTAGTAAGTACAAAATAATTCCTATCAGGGCAACTGGCTCCTTTTTTTCCACCGGTGGGAATTCGTCTGATGCTTCTTTTCGAAGATCTGCTTTCATGATCACTGCTGTAATAATCGGCAATCTTTTTTCTTTTTTTTCTTCCTTGCAGCCGATCAGTTGGGTTACTAAATTTTCACGTGGCTTCCCCTTTAAACGATATAGTGTCACCATTATAACCATCTGCATACAAACATAATGAGATCCTTCATACGTACAGCATACCAAACGAAAAACTTAAAATTATTAGGGCTCTCTAAATTCGCTATAACACAAACAAACCTTCCGCACTTTTGTGTTCAAAATTCTCGAAAAATTGAATATTTAGTTGATATGTTTGAATATATATGTTGATATGTTTGAATATATATGTTGATATGTTTGAATTCCAAAGTATAATCAAAAAATATTTCGTATAGGTAATTTCTTACAGAAAATTAATGCTGGAAACTTGAATTTTTCCTATGCGTCATTATTATTATTAGTCCAAAGGGGCTTTGTCCCTGAGGGACTATTGTTTTCGTTTTGCGATTTTGCCTCGAATAACTCTGAATGTCTGTTTCATCTTTCAAACTATTGCCACCAAATATTATCGCTATTTGAAGAAATTAAATAATAATCAGCATAAATGTATGTATGTTTCTCGCATTGCGTTAAAACAACTTACCAAGAGACATCCAATTTTCAATGACGTAATCCTACAGAAAATATGGTCATCTGGAAGCCCAGATTTGAAATTTGGAATTTGTTTTATTATCCATGTCCAATTTTGTAAAACTTTAACGAATTTTGATTAAAAAACTCAAGGACTTCAAAGCGAGCCATGGCAACGTTGTACAGAAAAAAACATTTTTATCTCCAGCGCGTGAGACTGTGTATCGGAAATTAAAGATATATGCTCAATTTAAAATTATTTAGCGATATGGCTCTTGAAGTGAATTTTATGGTTAAATGCGAAGAATATGATATTTAATATACTCACGGACTGGAGGAAACGGCGTTCGTTCAAGTCCCCATCTCTTTTCTTCTTGCTTAAAAGCAAGATTGCTGCAAATATTTAATAAATAAAGATAACACACAAAATTTTAAAAGAAAAAGCCCTTTTGGACGTACTTTAAAATCTGAAAAACCTTCAGATTTTAGTTTTTTCTTTCAGATTTTAGTTTTTTCTACTTTTTATTATTATGTATGTTTTCATAAATATACATAATAATAAAAAAAAGTTGAAACTAAGTTAAAATTTAGTTTTGTTTTAGTTAAAAAGAAATTCCAGCCCGTCAACTGGTTTCAGGCGTCAACATTTGGCAAGCATGCAATTTGAATTTTGAGACCACTAGAGGAATACGCTTTCGAAGCTTACTATTTCAGCCTGCGTTCAACTCAATGTCGGTAAATAACCTGGTAAGGAGGTTGGTTTTTTTAAACCCAAAACAGTGTTAGCTCATAAGGACTATTAGTCTCGAAACGGCATTTTGCATCGGTTCACTATAAATGTTCGTTTCACGTTTCAAATTGTTGCAACCAAATACTATCGCCCTGTATCATGGTTAAAGAAATTAAATAACGAAGAAACTCCATGAATGTATGTATGTTTCTCGCATTTTGAAAAAAAAAAAAAAAAAAAAAAAAAAAAAAAAAAAAAAAAACAGTATCTATAGCCATTAAATAACTTCTCCACCTGAATATGCGCACCTTGGAATTTTGAATTTGTTTTATTCATATTTTGTAAAACGTTAACTAATATTTGATTAAAAAACTCAAACGATTTCAAAGCGAGCAATGGCAACGCTGTACGGAATAAAACATTTTTAACCCCAGCGTCCGAGACTATCTATCGGAAATTTTAAACACTTGCTGTTTTCAAATATTTTGTGATTCTGTTGTTAAATGAATGTTAAATGGATTTTACGTGGCGTAAGCGCCAAGAACGTGATATTTAATAAAGCAAGCATACAAATGTTAATAATAAAAAGACAAAAGTTTTTGCAAAGCCATCTTAGTAAGAAAACTGAACATTGATATGATGAACTAAGAAAAGACTGAAAAAACAGAAAAATGTATGCTGCACTTAATGCTGCACCGGGAATTCTACACGTATGCTGCTTTTAAAATTTTTGCAATTTTACTGTTGAATTGTATATGGCGTAAGGGCGAAGAAAATGATGTTTAATAATATGGTTAAAAAAAAAAAAAAAAAAAAAAAAAAAGAGGGTTTGTAGGAGGGAGTGTAATAGCAGACTGGTAGACTGCGACTCAGCGAGAGCGTAAAACATCCTCAACAAACAACTTTGAGCAACCGCTAAAATCTGAAACCTTTCAGATTTTTTTTATGTGTGTGGCTGGTTTTTTGACTATATGTAATGAAAGTATTGGGGGCCAGTTCAGATTATGAAGTTCCCGATGGACGATAAGCAAAACAACCTTCGATACTCTGCGTTAGTTAATTAACCAAACAAAAATACTGACATTTGGCTCGATAGTATTTTATATGACTCATTGTGCAAAGCTGTTATGTATATCTAAACATACATACCTTCTCCAAGATTCAAGCCTAATATCCAGTCGATAAATAAACACTTGCAGCACAATTATAACTAAATGAAACATGTTTTTAAAGCCGTATATTTATACACCACGGCACAGGATCGTTTTCCTCCCTGCAAGACCAATGTGAAATTCAGATTGGAATTTATCTGTTTCAAAACTTCTTATGTGATAATGTGCATCATAATTAAATTCATTCTTCGTTTAAATTAAAGATACGCTAAGTTATTTTCGAGTTTACAGCATGTCGACTTTCTAATATAATTCTTCTATTTTCTGATCATATTTTAGATTCTGATGATGAAAACCAAGAGAAAAAGAAAAATTCTTTCAGCAGTACTCTCTGGGCCATTTTAGGAGGCGGCAAGCAAGCAAGCCAACTCGCTCAACAGCCGCAATTCCTAGATGAAGTTCAAAAACAAATTACTTGGACCCAGCAACTAAAACAATTTCCTCAACTTCTGAAGCAGATATCTCCCAATCAGGTAAGAAAGTTTTAGTAAAATTTAAAGCCATTCCCTTTCAATGGGTACAGTTCGCCTTCTGCCAGGTGGCATTTTTTAAAATAAATGCTAGTCTACTCAGATATGAACTCGAATAATTAAGACACAATAACACGCCGAATAAGTACTAATTCAGAAGTCAAACAACAAAAATCAGCGTTAATTTTCAAAATTTTCACAGGACTAGTTTCGATGGTTTTACCGAACCACCATCCTCAGCTGCAAAACCGCAAATAAACAAGATAGGAAATAATGATTAGATAAGTTAAGAAAGCCTGGACAAGAATAAGCAAGTGGCGCCATCTGTTGGTGAAATCAGAACTAAAACATAATTTCTTTAAAGGCCAAAGGCAAAGATGGATTGGAATTAGGATCGTTAACAAGAGCAGAAAGATTTTTTTTTGAATGTGAAATGCCTCTAGAAAATCCAGTTCTCCAATGGTAGATGCTTTTTGAATAATTTTGGCAGCAGAAAAAATTGAAAGTGTGATTTTCGGACCAACAAAGTTGAGCAACAGAAGACTTCTGTGTTTCCTTTTTTCTAACATATGCCTCATGTTCCTTGATGCGAAATTTTAAGGCTCTCTTAGTTTGGCCAATGTAAATTAAACCAAACTGGCAAGGAATCCTATAAATACCCCAAGAATTCATATCCGGAATGGGGTCCTTGAGTATGGAACTCGGAATTTTATTGATGGGAGAATAAACAATCCGAAAGTTAAATTTCTGCAAAATATGAGCAACTTTATAGCTAATTGATGGAAAGAAGGGAATGACAACAGAATTTTTATAATCTCCTGAAACAAGAGTGTGCCTTTTAGTGTGTTGAGATGAGAATTTTTTAACTGCTTGATTAATAATGTTGGGTGGAAAGCCCCTGTCAATAGCTATTGCTTTTAAATAATTTAGTTCTTCATCAAGGGCTAATTTTAATTTGGAGGAGCAAACTTGAAGAGCACGGAAAACATAGGAATAAAATGAAGCTAACTTTTTGTTTAGTCGGATGACATGATTTAAAGTGTGGTGGAAGGCAAACCGATGAAGGTTTACGGTAAACCGTAGTACTGAAGTTGTATGTGTTACGTGTGACCAGAATGTCGAGAAATGGAAGAGAATTGCAAGTCTCAAGTTCAAAAGTGAACTGAATAGCAGGATCAATAGAATTCATTGTTGAAAGAACTTTATTTAAATCATCTTTATTACTTTCATTTTATTATTTTTAACTGCTTGATTAATAATGTTGGGTGAAAAGCCCCTGTCAATAGCTATTGCTTTTAACTCTGTTTGAAACAAACTCACTCAACTCTGTTTGAAACTCAACTCTGTTCTCTCACTCAACTCTGTTTGAAACTCAACTCTGTTCTCTCACTCAACTCTGTTTGAAACAAACACATTTTGTTTTCCAAAATAACACATACAAACTGAGGGATTGGCTATGGGAAGCCCCCTCAGTCCCATTCTGGCTGATATCTACATGCATTATTATGAATCAAAATTGTTTGAAACTTTAAACTTCCCTGCATGGTTCTGCTATGTAGACGGTACTTTTACCCTGTTTGAAGGTAATAAAGATGATTTAAATAAAGTTCTTTCAACAATGAGTTCTATTGATCCTGCTATTCAGTTCACTTCTGAACTTGAGACTTGCAATTCTCTTCCGTTTCTTGATATTCTGGCCACACGTAACATCCAACTTCAGTACTACGGTTTACCGTAAACCTTCATCGGTTTGCCTTCCACCACACTTTAAATCATGTCATCCGACTAAACAAAAGTTAGCTTCATTTTATTCCTATGTTTTCCGTGCTCTTCAAGTTTGCTCCTCCAAACTAGCCCTTGATGAAGAACTAAATTATTTAAAAGCAATAGCTATTGACAGGGGCTTTTCACCCAACATTGTTAATCAAGCAGTTAAAAAATTCTCATTTCAACACACTAAAAGGCACACTCTTGTTTCAGGAGATTATAAAAATTCTGTTGTCATTCCCTTCTTTCCATCAATTAGCTATAAAGTTGCTCATATTTTGCAGAAATTTAACTTTCGGGTTGTTTATTCTCCCATCAATAAAATTCCGAGTTCCATACTCAAGGACCCCATTCCGGATATGAATTCTTGGGGTATTTATAGGATTCCTTGCCAGTGTGATTTAATTTACATTGGCCAAACTAAGAGAGCCTTAAAATTTCGCGTCAAGGAACATGAGGCATATGTTAGAAAAAAGGAAACACAGAAGTCTTCTGTTGCTCAACATTGTTGGTCCGAAAATCACACTTTCAATTTTTTCTGCTGCCAAAATTATTCAAAAAGCATCTACCATTGGAGAACTAGATTTTCTAGAGGCATTTCACATTCAAAAAAATCTTTCTGTTCTTGTTAACGATCCTAATTCCAATCCAAATTTGCCTTCGGCCTTTAAAGAAATTATGTTTTAGTTCTGGTTTCACCAACAGATGGCGCCACTTGCTTATTCTTGTCCAGGCTTTCTTATCTTATCTAATCATTATTTCCTATCTTGTTCATTTGCGGTTTTGCAGCTGAGGATGGTGGTTCGGTAAACCCTCGAAACTAGTCCTGTGAAAATTTTGAAAATTAACGCTGATTTTTGTTGTTTGACTTCTGAATTATGAACTGGAATGTTTGATGTTTTTCGCGATGATTCTAGTGGCTCAGTAAATAGCAATGGATATTCTGATTGTTTGGGGTTACCTACTACGCAATGGAAACTTCCTTCTGTTAGCATGTTATGGCACCTGTGTGAATGGTCCATGGAAGGAAAAGTTGTCGTTAAGATCTTAATGGAAGAAAGGATGGCAGGCCAGCCTCCGGAGACGATATGGAGAGAATATCTGCCATGTACTATCTGTCTGTCAGCACAATATCTGTCATGCGTATGTGTTGCCACTTCCTCATTAGATTTCGGATTTAAAATCCACTGTTCCCTAGTATCATCAAAAAGTGTTTAATTTCTTTCAAAAAATTATTTAGTTTAGATATGCACCTAATTAAGTGCTTTTTTGAAAGAGAGGATAAAAGCCTTCCAGAACATTATGCCAAGTGCTTTGCATATAGGATAACTACTTCAAATTGTGACACAATTTGCAGGTGTAACAATGCCACTTTTTCAATCATTCTGCTTAACCGGTTCTTATTTGAAAAACCTAGTATAGTGCTTTGCGAAGTTTAGGTCGGGAGACAGTTTTTGGTGGCACACCAAAAATTTCGAAGGATTACATTTTTTTTGTACACTTATATATATCTACTTATGATCAGGAGTTAATCAAAATTACTCTATGCATCCAAATTACGTAATTAAAACCTTCACACTATAATGAGAAAAGTCTTTCAACAGCAATAAACTAATTTTAATGTACTTGTAAGATATGTAGTTTTTCTCTGTTGTAACCTCTGACCAAACCTCAGTAAGACTGTAAGAGATTTATCGCTATGTCTTAAAAGTACTACGGAAACTTAAGAAAAGTGTAAATGAACCTTTATTTTAAACTAAAAATAGATGAACATACCTGGGGCTTACAAATCAGCTAGCATTTATGGCGAGAACTCAAAGTAGAAAGTCAACTAAATCTAGATATTTAATAGCCAAAGGCTACGCAGAGTAAATTAATTGCGAATTTGGCTCTAAGACTTTCACTGGCGTGAAATTGCTATTGGAAAGTATAATGTACGGCCGAAGACAGGAACTCTTATCTCAAAATAAAAATCCTTGTAAAGCGGCCTTCAATAGCAGAACATCCTCCGTCTAAACAATCTCAAACCCTCACTTAACTCTTACTAAGTTACTCTTACTAAGCGGGAAAACCGAAAGAGAGAAGTGACAGTAAACATTCAAAACATTGTTTAAACAAATTAAATAAAGCCTACATAGATTCTATTATGTCTGATGTGGAAGTTATACGAGTATGAACGCTTTGCAAAGCGTGCTCATTCGATATCCGTTGCATAACAAACACAACTGAACCAACTAATATGACTCTTTCAGAGCAAAAGTTAACATTTGTCAAATTGTTGCAGTATTGACAGAACGAACTTAAGTATTAAAACTAACTTTTAGCTGCTATCGATAGAAAATGGTATAAATTCTGCTATTATGCAACCTATCAGATGGTAGTTTGTATTATATTAAAATATAATAAAATCAAAAAGTTATTAATGGTTATTTTTATAATATTGTTAACAAAATAGTGAATCTGATATTTATTTGGCATATTGCAAGCGAAATAGTGAACCTCATTTTCCATCTGAAAGGGAGGAAGTGGATTTTTTTTTTAATAACATAAATGGCTGTGAGACATGATAACAGCAGTTCAAGATTAAACTTTTTATCTAACTTATCATTCCTTTTTCTCAGGTCCTAAAACAGCTTCTGGAGGATGATGAGGAAGACTATAGCATTCGACGTCAAAGAATCCGCCACCAGCCGTCCGAACGCCTACCATCCGGGGGATATGCCACTCAGTCGGTACCCGTCGCTGTGCCTTTGCCTGCTCCTCCTCCTCCCCCTCAAATGATAGCCCGGAGACCCGTGGTTAGTGCCGTGCCCATCGACACCCGTCCCATCTTTAAACTGCCTCCTGATGGACATGCGAAAGTCATAACTGTTTCAACCTCCGAACCGACAAAGATATTCAGTCTGACTAAGGAAGGACCCACGGAGGTCATAAGAATAACCAGCTCGGAGGGCGATCAGCGACTACGAATCGGAACGACCTCGTCCAGGTCGACCTTCAAAATCCGTCCAGGGATGTATTCCTTAAACAGCGGCGAACAGATGCATGTGTCTGAGGCGAGCCTGGTACCGGTAGCTCCACAATTCTCTGATGATGGCAACTCCGATGGAAACTTCAAACCAATCCTCAAGCCCATGCCCGCTCCAAAGGGTTCAGACAAAAGGATTGTTGAAGACGAAGATCTGATAGCAGTTGAGAAATCGGAAGATTTCCATACTTTTAAAATTGAAAAGGAGAATAATAAACGTGAGGAATCTCAAGAGAAGGATTCCAGAATCAACTTTTCATATCATCCTATTTTAGAATATTTAAATATGTAAAAAACTGAAATTTTAGTACTAGCAGCTATCGAGCTTAATGGAATGTCTGCTTTTTAAGGTCGTTTTACCATCTTGGCTGAAATCTGAGGAAATTCTTGCTGATTAGAAAATGGCACCTTTTTACTCATTTTACTAATTTATTCCAAACATTAAAACATACTACGTAGTGATTCATATGAAACGAAGTCCAAAAGTTTTGGTATAGAAACTTCTAGAAATCTGCCTTTATAATCACTTTTGAATCTATATCATAAAGCTTTAGGTTCAGTTCATTTATATGAATCACTGTATAGATTAGCTGCTTCATCTTGCATTTGAACGACACAATCTTCCCTTTCGGAAATATCCGTTACAAATCATTTCATGTAATTTATTTTGTAAATAGACGATTTTATTGCTGGCAGACCATTGCATTTTCTTAAACATATTACTAAATGATTGATTCGTATATTAATATTAGTACTGAAATATTCAGTAGGTGATTAATTGAAGATAAATAAAACAATTTTTATACCGGTGTTTGAACAATTTCTTACCAATTGTAAGTTCTTTTTTATTTTTTTGGTTTGTATAAGCTTATCATATGACAGGTGTCTTATTTCAGTTTGTCAAAGCTTTCGTTTTGAGGCTAAAAGCACACATGAAACTGTAATTGAAAATAATTTTTGGAAAACGGTATTAGTAATAAAATGTAATTTAACACTGTAATTAAAGGCAGAATGAGACAGAACACATGCTTGCTATACTATATACACTGGTGTGCAAAAATTAAGGACGAGATGGTTTTTTTCAATATAACTTTGTACAAAAGCTTTCCAAATCAACACATTTAATACCGTAAGATCCCCAATACGTAAGAACATGAGTAATGTAAGCAACACTTACTAAAAAGAGAAATCAGAGGGATAAAAAGAAGCTTTATTGAAAAAGTAGCATGGAGCGCAATGCGACTGAAGGCCGAAACATCCCTCTGATGGGTGTCCAGCAAGAAACATCCGGTCTTTAATAGGGGACATGATCTCCCCTGACTGCTAGGCAGGTTTCACAGCGTCTGCCCATGCTGAGAATGAGGGTGTCAATGAGTTGTTGAGGCATTGCTGCCCATTCGTCTTGCAGCGCCAATCGAAGCTCCGGAATCGTTACTGGTGGTAAGGTACGAGCTGCCAAGCGTCTGCCTAGAAAATCCCATACATGCTCGATGGGATTGAGAACCGGAGATCGTGCAGGCCAATCCATACGTTCAATATCCTCACTCTCTAAGAGCTGTTCGGCAGCTACTGTGCGATGACATGGTGCATTGTCGTCCATGAAAAGGAACTGCGGACCCATAACGCCTCTAAAAAGACGCACATATGGAAGAAGAATCTCGTTATAATAACGGGTCCCGTTGACTGAACCTGCGTCGAAGATGTGAAGGTCTGTACGACTACCAAGCATGTGCCTCCCCAAACGAGAACACCGCCACCTCCATACCTGTTCCTTTCAATGATGTTCGAGGGCTGATTGCGGCTTCCCCGCTCTCTCTAGATGAGTATGCGATGAGAATCGCTACTCAGACTGAATCTGCTCTCATCTGTAAAGAGTACTCGTCCCCATTCATTGTCTCTCCAATTCCGGTGTTCCCGGCACCACAGAGAAACGCTTCTCCGATGGCAGGCGTTAGAGGTACACACCGTACAGGGCGTCGTGCAAACAGACCACCACCGTGCAGTCTTCTGGCCACGATAAAACGCGATATCGGTCGTCCAGTCGCCTGTTTCGTGTGTCTAGCGATTTCTCCCGCTGTCTGTCGCCTGTTTCTTCTGCCCTGTAAGGCAATATATCGGTCATCTGCGGGTGTGGTTCCTCGTGGACGACCACTACTAACCCCCCCGGATAGCTGTTCCTGTAGTTTGAAATTGTTTCCAACGTCGTGAAACGATGCTGTGAGCAATTCCGAACTCTGCAGCCACACTTGTCACACTGCGGCCTTCCTCCAACTTCCCAATGATTCGACCTCGGGTAAAAGCATCCATATGTCGTCTAACAGATTGATTATTCGCCATTTCTCGCTGAGGCAGCAACTCGGTGTGATTTTCACTGCTGTACGGCGTGTAATCTCTTTGCCAGAAATACTGATCTTACACCGACAACATGCTTTATACTACTCAGACACTCCCCCATTACGTCTACCTGCATATCTGTGCATGTGCTACCGTACATCACCTTACTTAATCTCCTGATTGGTCTTTCTGTCCGCTCTGCCTCTTCGTTCAGCTTATCAGGTTCAATGTTTCTTCTAACCTTCTTCGGAAACATACAATGACCTGACTAGAACAAAGAGCTTACTAAAGCTATGTTCACTAATTGTAGTAAGTAGACAGGATACAGACGAAGGGTATACAAAACCCTTTATTTTTTTCTTTATATACAATGACTTCCGTACTTCGGAATACAATGACCCTCCACTCGGGGTCTAACTTAAAAGATATCAAAATAAAACTAAACTCTAATTTAACTTTAGAATAAGATTGGCCTTATAATAACAGGAAGCGTATGTAGCACAGAGACTGTGAACACTACAATACGTTTAATTTATCAAGAGGATTAAAACCTCTGGCCTGGAAGGCAAAGTAGCAACTGCGTAACTTCTAAGGTAAGCGGCCTGCTTCGAACTCACTGCTTCCTCTCTTCTGCTTGGCAAAAAGGCCACACTTAAATACTTGGCGTTCGCCAGACAACTTTGCATAAACTCCTTCACGCTTATAATTCTGGCCGGAAGTAGAAAATAAGAAGTGATAGTAAAGATTTAAAATAAAATAAACGTTAGTAAAACTTAAGATCCTTACATACTTCCCGCCAGAGTTAATTAGTTTGAAACTGAGGTCTAAAACGACCTTGTTGAAAACTTTTAGCTCTAGAAACTAACGCGAGGCCAAACTTTTACAATCATAACTTAGCTAGAAACTAGAAATTTTTTTAAAAGAAAGAAATTTGTTACAATAGCAGCTCCCGGATATACAACAATCTTTTTTCTTTTTCATCTGTACTGCATCTAAACAGGAGCTTTATTCAATTCTGGTTCCTTCCAGAGATCTGGAAGGAAAACTAGTTTAATGAAATGTTACAGAATGACATTGCAAATAACATATAGAATATACTTTTCTTAACATTCTTATTTCATTCATGACTATTTTAATTATCTCTCCCCGTGCTCTCTGACATGTGTTGTAAAAACACCAAACACGAATGTGTTTCTGTCTACGTGTTCAACACTTCCTCCTACAATCAAAACACTAACGTGTTAAAATTCAACATACGAGACCTCTTAACACACCCTAATTTCAACTCTAGACCCTGAGGTACTATTCTGAAAGTGGCTAACTCTAAAGTGTAGCGTCAGAGAGCCTAACTACATCATTCAACCTTTAACACATATTCACCATGATTTAATCTTTACAGTCACACGAATAACAAATTTTTTAACATTACTTTCACTTTTACCATATCACGGTATTTCTAAACATTTAAAATAACAGTTCACATGTATACAAGAACATATCAACATGCCGTTAATTTTACACATTTGAAAACATACATTAGTAGTACATTGTTAACTTCTATTCTTTTCAAAGCAAGTGCCAATTCTTTCTACATTGAAATAATACTACATTTCAAAAAGTCTTTCAGACTAAAACTTCTTTCTTGTTAGAATGTTTTAAATAAAATTTATACAATAACTTTTTACAATATTTAAGTCTTTACACAACGCTATTATACATCAACTTTAGTTTTACGCGCGAGTAATTGAAAAACATAATAAGAAAATCGGTCACAACTCATTTCTCGCCCTTTTGGCGATAAAGGTAGACCTCGCATGAGGTAAAACTTCTTGAAATCTGCCACTTGCAGTAAGAATGAAAGATTAACTTAAGTTTGTAAAGTAACATAAAATTTTACTTATCTTTGTAATATTCAGACATCCTTTTCTGGGCCCAGTCTTTAAAGGTAGCTGCAGATAGTAGCTTGGTTGATCCTCCTTCTTGTACGGGCTCGCCCTTCAGTGCTTTCCTCTGGAAGCTTCCGTTTTTTCACCAGTACGGCCACCCTTGAACATCCTTCCTTTGTCCTCTGCTTGTGGTCTTGGCCGTTTGAAGGCAGCTGGTCTTGGTGGAACCGGGAAACTTCTGTCGTGATCCTGCTTGGACCTCGTTGTTGGCCGTTCAAATTTTTCTTGTACTTTTTCCTCCGCCGCTGATGGCCCTTCCGCAGTTCGGCGACTTTTGCTGCGGAGAGTTCTGTCGGATGAGTCAATCTTCCGTTTCACAGCCGGGTTATAGTTGCCGTCCTTTCTCCCGGTCTTTTCCACATACGTCGTCCTTCTCCCTTCTTCATTCTGGGGGTGTTCGTGAACTCTTTTTCTGGACGGTGGAACGGCTTCTTTTTCTTTGTACCTTCAATTTTTCCGCGGGGCAATTTTTCTTTTCACTTGCTTCTGTCTCTCATTGGCTTGCCCTTGTACTTGTCGTTTTCCCCACCTCTGGAACTTGTACCTGCGGTGTCTGCCGTACCGGATCCTGCAAAAGATCTGAAAAGATTTGCATTTTATTACGATCGATAGAAGGGTTTTATCTGGTCAATGTTTGCGGAACAGGTTTCACCATTTCTTGCCTTTAAACACTACAACAGCGTGAGTTATTTTTTCTATAACATATGGTCCTTCAAAGCGTGGAAAAAATTTGGCAGTTTTATCTTCTGGTGCTGAAGAAAGTGAATGCTTAATTTTTAGTACTTCATCCCCTACTTTATAAGTTACTCCCCGTCGTTTCAAGTCATAATACAATTTTTGTTTTCTTTGTGCTACTTCCGTATTCTTTTTTTTGCTTCTTTTATTAGTTTTTCTATATCACCCATTTTAAATTCTGGGGCTCTTTGTTGCACATAAAATAGTTTATCTAACGGTGTTATAACCTTTCTGCCTAGAAATAACTCAGCAGGAGTTTTTGCCCGTTGTATCATGTTTTGCGGTCCTAAGGGCGAAAGCAAATTCATTGACATAGTTATCCCAGCTTTTATGAAAATTTTTAACATAACTACGGATAATTTTCACTATATTTCTGTTGACCCGTTCCGCTATATTTGATTGCGGCCGATACGGGACCATTTTTAAATGACGTATGCCCAGTTTTTGGCACATGTCTTCAAATATATTACTTACAAATTGAGGACCATTATCCGATATAACTTTTAGGGGCGCCCCGTATTTTAAAATATATTTATTTAAAATAGAATCGGTAACTAATTTCGCGGAGGCTCGTTTTAAGGGAACAATTTCGGTCCATTTACTAAAATGATCAACTATAACAAGGAGATAGCGACTTTTGTTTAACTGACTTTTTGGGAAAGGGCCCAATAAATCGATGCCGATTATTTCATTTGGAAATTCGGATTTAATACTATTTAGAAACCCGGCCGGGCGGAAATTAATATAATTAACGGCTTGACATGTTGGGCAGGACTGGACATACGCCCTTGTTAA